CCTGGAGGGAGGTCACTGCTTCAGTCTTAGGCTCTGAGGACAAGGGGTAGGAATGGGAAAAGAGAAAGGCTGATTCATCTTACTTGGATGCTAAACAGGCTTTCAGGGTGGAGGAAAATCTATCCCACTAAGGATGGTGACCTAAGGATCTAGAGGCCTCTGTTAGGTAGATCCATAGCATGCCCTGGCCTAGCCAAGTTCAGGGAGCTGGGTGCCAAGCGTTTCAGCATTCCTCTGCGGTCATGCCAACAAGGTAACCTAAGAACATAGCTGAGTAACCACAGCCCTGGCCAGGAGCCTCATATGTGCCCCCTTTGAAGGTGCTGTATTTTTCCATTCCTGGGAAATTCTTGAAACTCAGGTGACTCACCATGTCTTTCACTTGCACCGAAGGTGAACTGCAGGTCTCTTCCCTACTCACCCCTCTCCAAGCCCAACCTCATCTGGGTCCTGCCTGGGTACATCGTCTCAGAGTGATCCTGGGGTCAGCTTACCTGAGGCTTCTGCCCTTCATTCTTGCTGGTTAGCATATCAGGGGCATGAAGTCCTCAGTGGGGTAGGGTTGCCAGATTTAGGAAATAAAAATACAGGACACCTAGTTAAATTTGAATTTCAGATCAACAATGAATAATGTGTATAAATATGTCCCAAATATTGCATTTTATTTTGCCTGACAACTTAATCCTTGGAGTATTTAAATGCCTCCCATTAACCTAGAACAAGGGTCAACAAACTTTTTCCGTAAAGGGCCAGATAGTAAATATTTTAGGCTTGTGGGCCCTATGGTTCCTGTTGCAACCACTCAACTCTGCGGTTGTAGCACAAAGGCAGCCAATGACAATGCATAAATGCATGGGCATGTATGTTCTGTAACACTGTATGTGTGGACACTGACATTTAAATTTTAAATAATTTTCATATGTCATGACATATTATTCTTTTGATTTTTTTCATTCATTTAAAAATATAATCACCATTCTTAGCTCGAAGGCTGTACAAAAACAGGTAGTAAGCTAGATTTGGCCTGCGGGTCATAGTTTGCCCACCTCTGACCTGGATCAGAAAGTTTGATCCTCAAATTTTCTTTTCTTTGGCTGGCCGGTACGAGGATCTGAACATTCAAATTTGGTGTCTATAACACCATGCCCTAACCAACTGAGCTAACCAACCAGCCAGTCCCTATCTGGGGTTATTTCAAAGCCTCATTAGCCCTAGGAATGATTTTTTATAAGGATCACAGACTATATCTTCATTGGATGAGCTTTTTGTTATCCATAGGAATTTCTCTGTGTACTTAATATTGGAATTTTCTCTCATAGTAGTCTAGAGACAGAATTGTGATTAGAATTTCTAGTCCATTTAGTTTTTTTAAAATAGCTCTCCCGGGCCGGCCCAGTGGCGCACTGCTACAGTGTGCCGCTTGGGAGTGTGGCGGCGCTCCCGCCGAGGGTTCGGATCCCACATACAGACCGGTTCCCGCTCACTGGCTGAGCGAGGTGCGGGCACGGCACCGAGGGTTGCGGTCCCGTTGCTGGTCCTGGTCCGGTGCGGGTGCGACACTGAGGGTTGCGATCCGTTGCCGGACACGAAAAAAGACAAAAAAATAGCTCTCCCCCATTATTAAAAATGATACATTTGAAAATATATCTTTTATTTTGGAATAATTTTAGATATATAGAGAAGTTGAAAATAGAGTAGAGAACATTTCAATAAATCCCTCACCCAGTTTCCCTTAATGTTAACTCCTTGCATTACCATGGTATATTTGTCAAAACAAATCAACACTGGCATAATACTATTAACTAAACTAGATTTTACTCAAATTTCACTTGTTTTTCCACTAATGCCTTTTTTCTGTCCCAGGATCCCAACCAGGATATCGCATTACATTTAACTGTGATGTCTCCTTTGTCTCCTCTGGTCTATGACAGTTCCTTGTTGTTTCCTTATTTTTCATGACCTTGACCATTTTGAAGAGTACTGATCAGGCAATTTTTTTTTTTTTTTTTTTTACAGAACAGCCAAATCCAAATGATCAGGTATTTTGCAGAATATCAGTCAATTTGGGTTTGTTTAATATTTTCCTCATGATTAGTCTGGAGTTATGGGTTTGGGGGAAGAATACCACAGAAATGAAGTGCCTTTCTCATCACATCATATCAGGAGGTACCCGATATCAACATAACATGAATGATCACTGGAAATGTTGAGCTGGATCACTTAGTGAACGTAGTGTTTATCAGGTTTCTCAACTGTGAAATTATTATTTTTCCCTTTCTATACTCAACTTCGGACACTAGTCATTAATTCCAGACCACACTCAAGACGAGGGGTGGGAAGAAGGTTAACCTCCACTTTCTTGGGGGAGGGGGTAGTATCTACACATATTGCTTGGAATTCTATAAGGAAGATTTGTCTCTCCTGCACCTTTATTTATTTATTCAGTCATTTATTTATATCCTCGTGTGCTCATGTATATTTTATAATTTAGGTTATAATCTAATACAAGGTTATTTATTTTGTTGTTCAAATTGTTCTAGTTTTGGCCACTGGGAGCTCTTTCAGGTTGGCTCCTGTGTCCCTTTGACATGTCCCACACCCTTGTGACTTTTGAGTACTTCCCTACTTTCTAGCAATGCTCCAACCTCATCTGGTATATTCCCTGTTCCTGCCCTAGAATCAGCCATTTCTCCAAGAAGCCCTGGTTTCTTTTCTTGGAGAGTGGTATCAGAAACCAAGATCTGGGTGCTGAGTGTGCTCATTGCTACTGCAATACATATATATATATTTTTGTTTTTACAAACACTTTAAAGAGTAAGGACAGTAGGGAAACCTTTAAGGAATTAAGTAGGTAGGGCCCTAAATTCCACTGTCAAGAGATGAGGAAGCTTAACATTTGTAAATGTCCTTTTAGACATTTCTCTAGATACATATGACATCTATTTATCTATCTATCTGTCTGGCTGGCTATCTAACTATCTATCTGTCTATGCTAGATGGCTATTAATCCATGTAACTTTATCATTCTATACACACTCCTGTAATCTGCTGTATAAACTCAGTATGTCATAAGTATCTTTCCATTTCTTTAACAAAGTTCTATTTCATTAATTTTAATGGCTGCATTTTTTCCATTTCATGGTGTATCATAATTTATTTTACCAATCCCTACTAATGGACAGTCAGGACCTTAGGACTGTTCAGACACAACCTTCATTTTATATTTTCTGCACTGTGCTGACTATCTTGTAATAAATTATTGGATCAAAATTTTGACATGTTTACTTTTTTTATGTGCTGTTTTTGTAAACATAAATTTTAACACTTTTTAAAAATTAAAAATGTAATGATGCTTATTGTAAAAAAATCAAACAGTGCAGATATGTATAAAGTAAAAAGTGAAAATGTCTGGCCTCTTAAGGGGTAACCAATGGTAACAGTTTGCTAAGAGTATGAATTTGGGAATCAGACCACCAGAGATTTCAGCAGAAATTATTGTGTGAGCTTGGGCAAACAATCTAACATAACTATTATGCTTTTTAATAGTCATTTTAAAATGAGGATCACAATAGTACTTATTCCACTAGTTTGTTAGAATGAAATGAGATGATGTATGTAAAAGAGCTTAACACAATTTCTGGACATACTAAGTGGTCAATAAATGCCTACTATTATTAGTTGCTATTATCATTACAGTATTTTTCTGTGTATATGTATACTTAAAATTTTAATAGCAGTTGCTAACTTGCTCTTCTGGTGGATTCTGAAGACTTTTGATCTAGATTCCTTAATTAGTATTTCCCAAACAGTGGTCCCTGGATTGAATCAGAATCTCTGGGAGTAGAACTCCAATAAACTTGTATTTATCAAGTTCCCTAGGGGATTCTGATGTCCACTAAAGTTGGAGAACCATTTTCTTGGACACTAAAAGGCTCGGAAAGGGAGGAGGGAACATCAATAAAAGGGGTCAGCCTCAGCTTGTTAAAGCTGACAGTCGGGACACTGAGCTGGGCCTGAGACAATGTAGTGGAGGGGTTGACTATGCAGAAAGACCTGGATTTGAATCACAGTGACTAGTGTGGCCTTAGGTCACTGAGCCCTGCACACCTGCCTAGATCCCTCTCTTACTTCCCTTAAGTCTTTGACAACTCTCGCTTTCTCAAATAGGCTTTCCCTGACTACATTACTTAAAATTGCCTCCTTCTCCCACTCCCAAGTCTCTGATCTATTTTTCTCAATAGCATTTACCACCATCTAATATACTATCTACTTTATTTATTTATTGCCTGTCTCCCCCATCACAAAGCTCCATTACGGCATTGTTTGTTGTATTTATTGATGTACCCTCCGTGCCTAAAACAGAACGTGCCAAATAATAGGCACTCAATAACTAAGTGTTGTATGAACAAACCTTTCTGTAAAGAGGTAGGTAATAAAAAGTATTTACCTCCTAGGGAGACACTAGGGCTGGTATGAATATTGAATGAAAATTCATTTAATGAGCTTGTCTTTAGGCACATACTGAATTACTATTCATCTAGGATGCTTCTTAGATGGCTGAGCCCCAGGAAAGGGGTGTAGGGTTCTCGAACTTTGGGGCAGTCTTTTACTGTTGATCAGCTCCCTTTCCCCTACTTTCCTCTGGGTCACTCTCCCGGAGGAGTTTCCTATTCCTCAACAATTTATCAAAGCCAAGTCTAACCGGTTCTTCAGGACAGGATAATCAGGAGTAGCCGAGCCCTAACTTTGACAGAGAGTTTCCTTCCCTCCTCTCCTCACTCCCCAATAGATGACTCGGAAGGGATTTCAATAGCAACAGCCGCGTCCTCTCGCCCGCTTGATTCCACCAGCAAAGAGCAGGAACAACGTCTATTGAAACCGCAATTGCAGCGGGTTGGGGAAGTGAGGGGTTTCTCTTTCCGCACAGGCGCGTTCAGGTGCAGTCCTGCGACTATCGCGATAGATGAGCGAGATCGACGCTGTCCCTTTAACAACCCCTTTCCGGGGGCCTGCCCTGCGCGTGCGCACTGCGGTTCTGCGCTTGTCATCATGGCGACGCGGGGCCATGTGCAGGACCCTAACGACAGGCGCCTCCGGCCCATTTACGGTGAGTTCCTGGGGTCAGCCCGGTCGCGAGCTCGGTCGCCAGCCCGACGTGCCGAGGGCTGCCGAGGCCGGGGCGAAGGCTCAAGAGGGGCGCCGAGAGCCCGCGCGCGGGACAGGCAGGCGCGGGGGGCGGGCCGCGCGGGCCACTAGGCCGCAGCCGCGGAACTCGCGTAGGCGCTGGCCCGGCCTTCCCGAGCCGTGAGGTGGTAGAGGCGCTGTTGGGTCAGCGGCTAGTCGGCAGAGCTGACCCGACAGGCAGGCCCGGTCGGACGCGCCTTCTCCGGTAGAGACCTTGGCGGTCCGCAGGCTGCGTTGGTACGGCCGCTCCAGGCGGGAGACCCGAGATCTTCCCGCAGGTGGAAGCCGGCTCCCGCATGAGGGTAGAACACCTTACCTGAGGGGAAATTCCGCACTAAAGATTTTCTTATTTACAGGAATTGGACTTAGGGAGTTGTCAGATTAGATAGATGGGCTTCAGTGCATACGGAGAAACCGAAGTCCTGAGAGGGAAAGGGGCTGACGCAAGGTCACCCAGATCGAGTCAGTAGCAGGCCCGGGATTTCAGGCTCCCAATCCAGAGCTGTTGGGTGGAGAAACAGCTGCTCTGGCCACGGCCACACGTGGGAAGCGGGGGGAGGGGGTCTGGGACCCAAAATAGCGGTGAAGAGATTTGTGATAGCTCATGTCAAAGGAGCATGCAGGGCTGTTGGAGGGCTTTTCCTTTCTGTAGCTTCTCTGGTTTTCTCTGCAGCTTGCCTTCCGCGTGCTAAGTGGATCCTTCTCCACAACGCTTACTTCAGCCCGCGGGCTTTAAGACCTTGATGTCATCCTGCTACCCTGGTTGTGAGAATCACAGATTTGAGTTTGGGAGAAACACCTTTTCTATAACCGAGATGTTCTGTAATTGGACAATGGTCCATTTTCATTTCCTTTCCTCTTAGATGGTTGTATGGTCTTGGTCTGTCTCAGTTAATGGTGAGGAAACTTCAAGGTCAGTGGTTTTTGCAAAAGTAGACCTCGTGTTTATAGTGTGGATGTTACTAAATGGAGGCTTCTCCGCATGGCCGAAATCATTTAGTTTTTTTGGGGGGAGGAGGGTTAACTTTATGCTTCTGGCACAATTGGTCCTGCTTTTATTTCGTAATTTGTATGATGCTTTATGCTCACATCTCATCTGATTCTAGCAACAAGAACCCTGTGAGGTGGGTAATAATAATAGCTAAAGTGTGTAGACCGCTAATTATGTCAGTCACCGTCCCTGGCCTTTTATATCTAATTTAATCTTCACACATTCTCATAAGGTGGTTACTGTTTTTTCCAGTCCCTCCCCTTTTTTCCTTTTTTACAGATGAGGAAACTGGGGCTTTATAGCCTTTTTATAATTTGTCTAAGACCACTCAGCTAATTTTTTTTGGAGCTAGGATTTAACCCCTATGGGCTGTTCCAGGCTCACTTTTTCAACCACTGTTCTAGAAACCATCTCACTCTGAGCTGAAGACACTGACCTGCCTAACTTCACAGAGGTGGTGAGTGGCAGAGATAGGACTCTGATTTTCATATCCCCAGGGCTGCATATTCTCATGCTCTTGCTTTCCAGTATATATTTTCTGAGGGCAGAGATGATATATACAAGGTGGCTGATGAAAGGTAAGAACTGAATCCAGGGTTCACAGCTTATGACTCATTACAGCTTCGTGCAGCAGCTGGCTGTAGGCTTTAAAAAAAATCAAAACTAAAAAGACTATACTTTTAAGAATAATTGGATTCGTAAAATTGTTCTTGAGGACCAAAGAGAATGCCTGTGGTAGTCATTTAGAATTAATAGTGTTTGAACTGCCCAGTAAAAAACACCATGTCCATTTCACATTGCTAAACATCAGGATATATTAGCCAGAAGTGGCATGTCATGTTTTCAAAACTGAAGTCAGAATTATGTTGCTTTTGTTATAGCTAACATGGGGAGAGGATTAGAAGAGGGTTTCTTCAGGGCTGGCTGGTTTGCTCAGTCGGTTAAAGGGCAGTGTTATAACACCAAGGTCAAGGGTTTGGCTCCCCATACCAGCCAGCTGCCAAAAAAAATAAATAAATAATAATAATAATAATAATAAATGAAAGAAGGAAGCTTTCTTCAGGAATTCTGAGGTGATTCATATAAACTGGCAGGAATAGGAATGAAAGGGGTACAGATTGACCTTGACTTCAGCACTTTTGATTTTTGAACTCTAGACTTTTGTTGTTTAAATATGTTAGTACCCCCTGTAGTGGATTGAATTATGTCCCCCCAAAACTGACTGAAGCTTGAATTGTGTCCCCAAAGTTTTATGTCTTAGAAACTTGGTCCCCACTGTGACTGTTAACAGGGTGGGAAATCCTGTTGTGGTAATTGAAAGGTGGAGCCTTGAAGAGATAATTAGACTGTAGGACCTTGCCACAGTGAATGGATTAAAAATGGTGGTCAAGGGTGTGGTTCTTGGGGATTTAAAAGAAGAGAAAGAGAGTCTCTCTCTCTCTGCTCCACCATTCTTGCAATGTGATATCCTGCCATCACTGAAGTCACCACCAAGACTCTCACCAGATGTCTTCCCTGGACTTTGGATTTCCCAGTCTCAGAGACTGTAAGCAATACATTTTGTTTTCTTTATAAATCACCCATTCTAGGTAATTTTGTTATAAGCAACAGAAATGGACTAATACACCCCCTAAACAACTATTGTTCCTTGAGTTCAGTCATTCACTAGCTGACAAATGAACAAGCTCCTTTATGGTGGTTGCCTACCAGCCAAAAGTTCAACTGTGAGCACTAATCGATTTCTTACTGTGGGTTAACTGCCCTAGTGGGTAGGTAAGATTATTGTGATCATAGTAGGTAACTGAAGGTCAGAGAGATTAACTTGCTCTAACAGCCACCTTGTATATATGTAATATAACTTGCTTAGTCAGTTATAGAGCTGGGATTTGAACAGAGACATTCTCACTGGAGAGCCCAGTCCTTCACCAAGTTCAGATTCAGCAGCACCACTATCTTTGTATAGCAGTATTTGTACTGCCAAGCTTTTAGGATTTTACAGCTGTTGGAAGCCTTGCCTGGGACCTCAGCTCTTGCTGGATATTGTTGAGGGTACACATGGACAGGGCTATGAGGTGATTCGTTGTGAAGCAGTGGTGGGTTGAAATTCTACTTGTGATGTCTAGGTTTGGAATAGCTTTTTTGTGCACAAATTTGATTCGTTGAAACATCTTCACAGTGCATCTCACATTACTCATAATAAATTGGTAAGTTTGGGTATTGCATTTTTAGTTCTTGTAAACCTCCACCCATGACCTTATTAGAATTCTTATTTGATTATTCATTCTCCTTTTGCTAAAAGTTTTCTCTTTTGCTACATGAATCTCAACAGATTTTACTCTTGTGTGACTTGGTGAGCCCCACTGCTTTCTTCTACCATTATTATTAATTTTAAAATGCTTTTAGTGGTTGTGGAGTAAGGGAGGGGAGGGATGGAGAGAGGTAATATTTGTCTTTTTTTTTTTTTTTTTAAAGATGACCAGTAAGGGGATCTTAACCCTTGACTTGGTGTTGTCAGCACCACGCTCACCCAGTGAGCTAACCGGCCATCCCTATATGGGATCCGAACCCATGGCCTTGGTGTTATCAGCACCGCACTCTCCCGAGTGAGCCACAGGCCGGCCCAGGTAATATTTGATTCTGATTCATTGAGCAATCTCCCCTCCCACCATACTTTAAAATGAATTGTTTGTTTGGTCTTGGTAGCTGGCCAGTACGGGGATCAAAACCCATGACCTTGGTGTTGTAAGGCTGTGCTCTAACCAACTGAGCAACCGGCCAGCCTATGCTTTAAAATAATTGAAAGTGGAAGTGATGGTCAGATATGGCACTTAATAAATTTGTATACAATACAGGAATTACTGCATTAGCAAATTGCAAAATAGAAATAGAGAAGTTTCAAAGCAGAAAAAAATGTTCCCATAGTCCTTAGAAAACACACACACACACACACACACACACACGCACGCACGCACACACGCACGCACACACGCACACAAGATCCTTTGTTCTAATCTTTCTTACTGACCTGCAGGCTTGCACTACACTAAATCAGGTGTAGCATATTTCCTACCTGTGCCTCCCCAATGACAGTCATTCTTTGGTGAATTAGAACATTTCCCTTGGGTGCCTGGCCAAACACCAGCTCAGGTAATCATTCCGCTGTAGTTCATTAATAAAAATTCCCAGGTCCCTAATCAATGGTGGTGTTTATTCTGAGCCTCCTGTTGGGCAGTGTTAAGCTCTGTGAATCTTGTCTTGTTTTGCCCCAGACATGACAGGGAGTCTTGGTGAGTGAAGACTATTTTGCCTTTCTGTAAAAAAGTCAGTAAAACCTTTTTTCTTCTGTTCTGAAAATATAACCATTTAAAAAAACCTTGACTTAGGCCTTTAAGTTTTAAGTAGATTTTAGACTTAAAAGATTTTAAGGGCTGGCTCCGTGGCTCACTCAGGAGAGTGCAGTGCTGATAATACCAAGGCCACGGGTCCGTATCCTATATAGGGATGGCTGGTATGCACACTGGCTGAGCGTGGTGCAGACAACACCAAGCCAAGGGTTAAGATCCCCTTACTGGTCATCTTTAAAAAAAAAAAAAATAAGATTTTTTTTTTTTTTTTCGTGACCCGCAACGGATCGCAACCCTCAGTGTTGCGCCCGTACCAGACCGGGACCGGCAACGGGATCACATCCCTCGGTGTTGCCCCCGCTCCTCGCTCAGCCAGTGAGCCGCCGGTCTGCACGTGGGATCCGAACCCTCGGCGGGAGCGCCACCGCACTTCCCAAGCCGCGCACTGTAGCAGTGCGCCACCGGGCCGGCCCAAAAAATAAGATTTTAATGCACAAAAAAGTTCCTGGAAGAATACACAGAGTAGAGGGTAGTGGACGCATAGGGCAAGATGAAGACAGTAGTACTTTTCAACTAATTCTTATAAAT